TGGCTCAGTTGGTGCCATTTTATTTACTTATTTGGGTTTTTCTTCAGTTTGCTCAGCCCTAGCACCAGGATTAAGATTAATTCAAACAGAACAGAAATTAAAATTCAGTTCAAACATCACCATTTCCCACAACACAGTCCTTTCCTACTTTTTCTTTGGATGAATGGGGAACGTATATTGTGTGGTTGGGGCCTTGACATCTGTCCAGGACTTCCAAAATCAATCTTTACCGAAATTGTGGACAAATTTTCCATTTAAATAAAGTTTTAGCAGATCTGGATTGCTTTGCCATATTTCTAGTGTTCTCTCTCTCTCTCTCTCTCTCTCAAAATTAAGATTTGACATTTTTGTCTTGCCTGACATAGAGTTCAGAGACATAATGTTATCTTTTGGGAATTGAGACTGGGCCAAGTGATGGATGACAACTGTCCACTCACCTGTTTGCTAACTTCATGGCTTCTTGGGCAAGGATTAAAAACCTGTTTGACCCTCCAGGGAGATCTGAAGATGGAATAACCTGAGGAGGCGAGGGAAGAAAGGAGAGAGAAGCATCCGTCAGTGTTTCTGAAGAGCAAAGGGGCCTATGTCCAGTTGCATCCCAAAGCTCCAGTTGCCTCTATTTTTGCCAGAATTCTGACTGGGCCAGTCCTACAAATATGCACAAAAGGTAATAATCTCTTCCTGCCCCACACATAAAACCTGCAGTAACAAAAAGAACGAGGTTATTTGACACCTCTTTCTCACAGGAACAAAAACATGCCAGTATTTTTTATTTCCTTCCGTGACTGGGATCGTAACCTCTACTCCCACACCTTGAGGTGAGGTATGAGGACCAGCCACAAGGAAAGATACTTGCCACTCCTCCTAGCTTTGCCTTGCTTTGCTCCAAACCCAAGCGAGCTCCCTGGATGAGGCTCCTGGTGTCTTGCACCTGCTTCTGGTACTGATTACCCAAAGACTGTAGCCGATTGGCTGTGTCATTTATCTCATCCAGCTGGCTCCGGTAGGTGAATTCTTGACCTTTCATCTTGGAGAGGCGGCCCTCCAAGGATCTGTCGGTAGCTTGAACACCAAGAGAGAAGGAAGAGGAGGAATAAGTAATGTTCACTAGGCTAGAGAAAACATACTGGTAAAGAAGGGAAGTGGACTTGTGGCCAGCGATAGAGCAAGCACAATTCAGACACTCTGCATGAAATTCCCATTTACAAAGTGAGATTCTCTGAGACATCCTTCATGCCTGCCATCCCAGCAGTCATAAGCAAGTGCTTGGAAAGAGATGTTGGCATGAGACAGACATAGTGGGCAACCCATAATGTCTTGCTCCATGAACAAATCCCCTTGTATGCAGCAGCCTAACTTAACACTTTCACAGCATGCCACACGTTGTCATTTCGATCGAACCAAAGACTATGGCTTGCCCCCTCTCTTACAAACCAGGATTCCAAACAGCAGCTTAAATCCTGGTTTGTACAGAACACAAGCCATAATTTGTGGTTCGGATATAATCACCGACTATGTAATCACAAACTGTGGTTTGCTGCAAAAAGTAGACGTCTGTATGTGAGGGGAGGAGGGAACACACAACCCGGAGGATTCCCCAGGTTTGGTTCTGGGGCAACAAATCGTGACTGGCTGTTACATCTGAATGGTGCCCGTGATAAACATGGAAAGCTATCTTCTGTGAAGGAGTAAGGTTAACTAATGATCACCTGGTAACTGCTTGCAGACTAAGCTGATATTAAAGGGAGAACTGGAGGGACCAGTTTAAAAGCTGTCAGCCCTTCCTGCGTGCCACCCCTTCCGTTTGTCCCGGAAGGAAGCTTTGCAGGCGTCTGGGGTTTAGCTGCTGTAGCCCAGTATGAGCATTGAGGGAAAAGCTAGAAAGATGTTTATATCGCACTCTTCTGCCCAATGGAGACCCAAAATGGCTTACGATATCATTTTCCACGCCTCCATTTTATCCTCACAACACAGCCTATGAGGCAGGTGAGGCGAAGAGGGATTGCTTGGCCCAAAGTCACTCAGCTTCCAAGGCAGAGTGGGTATTCAAACCTAGATCTTTTTCATGTCGATTTTCTATATTATGCAATATTACTTCATATCTGTTTCTCTAAACAAACGGCAGGGCCAAAGACAGATGCGGCTAAGTGGGAGCTGTAGAAGGAAGAGGCGAGACTCTGCAACACTACTCGAAGATTTTTTGCTACTTTGCCATCGTTCGAAACTAGCATCCTGTTTTCATCCTCTCCAAGGGCAGGAAAGGAACCTTTTCTTCATTTGCCATCAAGGTGCAGCTGACGTATGGTGATCCTGCAGGGTTTTCAAGGCAGGAGACATTCAGAGGTGGTTTGCCCTTGCCTGCCTCTGCGTAGCAACCCTGGACTCCGGGGCTCTTTTTGTAGCAGGAACTCATTTGCATATTAGGCCACACACCCCTAATGTAGCCAATCCTCCAAGAGCTTACAGAGCTTTTCTTACAGGAGCTACTGTAAGCTCTTGGAGGATTGGCTACATTAGGGGGGTGTTGCTTAATATGCAAAGGAGTACCTGCTACAAAAAGAGCCCTGCCGGAGTCCCATCCAAGTACTAACCAGGGCTGACCCTGCTCAGCTTCTGAGATCTGATAAGATCAGGCTAGCCTGGGCCATCCAGGCCAGGGCAGGCTGCTTTATGTTACTCAAGCTCCCCTGCCATCCTGAAGGGATTTGGAAAAGATTTACCTTGCAAAGTCTGGGCTTCTCTCAGGACTTCCTGGAGCATCTGTTCAGCCTCTCTCATCTTCCTCTCCAGCTCTGCATTATCTCCAGGCACTTCCCCTGTCTGAGCCTGGGAGATGAGAACCTCGAGCCTTTGCAGCTGCTGGAGGTATTGATCGACCTGGGGGAAAAAGGGCAGCAGGGCTTACACCTCAAATGAGTAATGCAAAGACATCAACAGAAAGGGCCAGGTAGTGGGTGGTGTGAAGGACCCTGCAGAGCTGCTACCAGTCAGAGTAGACAATACTGACCTCGATAGATCGAGAACTTGGCTAAGAATAAGGCTCATGTGTTCATAGGGATCTTAAAGGTTAAGGCGCTTAGGGCTCTTTAGCTTGGAGAAACGACGACTGAGGGGTGACATGATCGAGGTTTATAAGATTATGCATGGGATAGAGCAGGTAGAGAAAGAGGTACTTTTCTCCCTTTCTCACAATATAAGAACTCGTGGGCACTCCATGAAATTGCTGAGCGGTCAGGTTAGAACGGATAAAAGGAAGTACTTCTTCACCCAAAGAGTGATTAACACATGGAATTCACTGCCACAGGAAGTGGTGGGTGCTACAAGCATGGACGGCTTCCAAAGGGAATTAGATAAGCATATGGAGCAGAGGTCCATCAGTGGCTATTAGCCACAAGGTATAGATAGGGGCTCTGGGGCAAGTGATGCTCTGTCTTCTTGGTGCTTGGGGGGGGCAACAGTGGGAGGGCTTCTAATGTCCTGGCCCCACTGCTGGACCTCCGGATGGCACCTGGTATTTCTGGCCACTGTGTGACACAGAGTGTTGGACTGGATGGGCCTTTGGCCTGATCCAACATTGGCGTCTCTGATGTTCTTATGTTCTTATCTGATCATGCAGTTCCACCACCAGCAGCATTCCTGTTTGCAGAAAAGTGGATGACAATTTCCACTGATCCTCCCCTCCTCCTGCAGGCCCCTCCCCCTTTCCCCCATGTTGTTCCTCAGCACCCACAGACCCTCTAGGAACAAAATGGGGTGGGTGGGCTCAGTGGACCACAGCAAGAGGCGGACATGGGAAAGTCCCCCTCCGCAAAGTCTGCAGATGGTTGGATATACCTCATTATCATTACAAACCCCAAAGGAGAGTAAAAACCCCATACCAGACATCACAGTCCCCCCACATTACTACAGTTTTGTAGCAGCTACCAATTAGTTTCTGGATCCAATTCAAGCCCTTTACGATCTGGGATCCTGAAACCTACAGGACCACCTCTCCTGTTACAACCCCCCCCACACACACCCTCTTCAGTCATCTTCTCAGGGCCTCTTGCAGGTACCTGGCCCCAGGATGGTTCGGTTAGCTCTCACCAGAAGAAGGGCCTTCTCAGTTATGGCCCCTACCCTGTGGAATGCACCTGTGCCCTGCAGGACTTGCTTAGTTACTGGAGGGCAGGTTGGTCTTTGGAGGTTTAACCAGGTGTTTTGGGCTGGTTCGATAGTGGTGTGGCACTGAGTCATACATCTTCATATTTTATATGCATTATCTGATTTCTGTTGGTTTTTAACTAATTTATTATAATGTTGTAGAAAAGATCAAGAGTCCAGTAGCATCTTAAAGACTAACAAAATTTGTGGCAGGATATGAGCTTTTGTGAGTCACTGCTCACTTCTTCAGAATTATTATGATGTTGGTTAAGTGTTGTAAGCAGTATTCCGTCTAAGCTGAGTAAGTGTGAGCTAGCTCTCAGTTTTTTAGCCTCTGGCTCACACATTTTTGTCTTGGCTCAGGAAGGATGGCCCCAGAGCAAACTAATCTATGCAGTAGCCAAATCGCTTGCTCACAACTTTAATGCCAGGAGCTCATAAAGTAGAATTTTTGCTCACAAGACTCCACAGCTTAGATGGAACATTGGTTGTAAGTCGCCATGAAACCCTTTGGGTGAGCTGCGACTAAAAAATATATATATATATGAATACCTGACCCCAAAAATCTATTCCCTTAGCCTTACAACCTAAAAATTCAGGTTATCCACCACAAAGATCGGAAGTCTTCCTCCAAAGAGATAGGAACACTTGGCTGTAGTTGGTATCAATCGGAAGAAAACCACCTACAACACAGTCTAGTCCAGCAGCATACCCATTTCAGGTCCCTGCTCTTCCTCCAAAGAGATAGGAACACTTGGCTGTAGTTGGTATCCAGCTCTAATAGCTTTCAAGCCCCAACCTGCTTAGATTCAGCAGCATAAGGGCATCACGTGCTTTCAGAATGTCCTTTGGAAACCAACATGATTCATGTGATTTATTCAGATGGCAGGTTCTTTTAAAGGTTTTTTTAAAATCCAAAGAACTGCAAGGGGTAGGCATCATTTTACAAAACGTAAACTCCCCCTTGTCATGTACAGGGAAGAGAGTGCCTCTTACAAGACAGCGCCAGCTGTGACACATACAAGCATCACCTACAAACAGAGCAAGTTTTCCCACTTCCAATTAATGTTTCCACTCTTGCGCACATGTAACTGATCGACTATTTGATTAATTTCTTAAGGGCCTGAAAAAGTACCACACACATCCCAGCTGTGGAGAGAAGTGGGGGGGGGAGAATCAGAGGGAGGGTAGGAAGAAAATCACTCTGCTGACAGCTGTGTCAGGGAAAAGGAAGCCGCTTACCTGTGCCTTCACTTGTCCATAGCAGGCTGGGCAGCGAGTATGTTCACAGCCGGGCCCTTCAAATCCTGCCTTACAAATGCAGCTTCCATCACTATGACACCGCAGGGGCTCAGCACCCACTGAGTTGCAATTGCAAGCTGCACGGGATAAGAGAAAGCTTACAGTTGGGAGGGAGCCTCCAAATCAGATTTGCAAGAAGCTTAACCGGTTTGCTTACTTCATTTATACCCCAATAGATAATGTTGGTATCTATTAACATTTCAGATCGTACACATTACGTTGGGGAGGGACAATTTACAGAAAGAAAATCCACACATTACTGAAGTCTCCGTGGTCATTACAAGAAATTAGGGTTATACTCGCACACGTTCTGTGGTTCTCAGTCACGCAGGGATTAGGACTGCAGGGTACATGAAGAAGGGCTCCTGGCTCCCCACGCACACCATTTTCCTGACTGAGGGCCATCCTGCATCTAGTATTCGCTTTGCTGTTTTACCAAACCCACATTGGAACAGAAATTCCCCTCTATGTTGCATGCCACTTTCACTCCCTTTGATTGTCAGATTTTATGGAAGCCTCCACACTGCATGCTGGTTTCACTTCCTTTGATCTCTCAGTTTTATGGTAGCCATCTGCATATATTTAAGGCTGTTTTATGGCCATCCAGGGATGACTCTGCAGTCAGGGCGTAGGCCCGGGATATTTGAATGTGGTTTTGAGCTGCATCTTTTTCCGTTCCAGTGTGGGTTTGGTAAAACAACAGAGTGAATGCTATATGCAGAATGGGCCTGTGAAACAGCTATTTGCTGTTGGGGAAAGATACCTGTACTGATGGCTACATGTAAATTTCCACAATGGACTCCATAACATGAGAATCAGCCTGGAGAGACCTTGAGTCTGCCACAGTCTCCCATCCTAGCCGATTTGTGCCTAGCTAAATGATAGATGTGATGTGATCAGAGTCCCATGACCCAACTCATAGTTACACCATCCATCAAGGGACTCACCTTGCAAATCACTCTGTGTCTCAGTGTGGCTCCAAGCACTGCAAGGGGGGAAGAGGGGCTCCTGCCTTCCCTCCTGTGCCATTTTCCCTACCAGAAACAGCCGTGGGGGGGGGCCTGTTTCCTCCTTTCTCAGGCTCTATATGTCATATGTCATATGTCTGTATGTCATGTGATTTTAGGATATGTGGATCCCGAGAGAGAGGTAAACAGGGGCCCCCCACAGCCATTTCCACTAGAGAAAACAGCATGGGAGAGAAGGCAGAAACTCCTGCTCCCCCTTCACAGTGTTCCAAGCCACACTTAGCAGGGGTTAGATTTTAAGTTGAGGCCCCCAATGTATGTGGGACTGTGAGTTGAGTCAGTACACCTCTGACCCAACTTCTGTCACAGCCATCTAGTGTGTGGGGCATGTGCTTATGTGGGTTATATGATGGCCCTAAATTCCCAACCTGACATTTCTGAGGACCTAAGAATAAGCCCCAAAATCTGAGTCTCAGGGCCAAAAAAGCCCAAGACCTCACAACACTAGGTATGGCTGCCAGCCTCCAGGGATGGCTGAAGATCTCCCACTATTACACCTGATCTCCAGGTGACAGAGAGCAGTTCACCTGGAGAAAACAGTTGCTTGGGAAGGAGCACTCCATGGCATGATACTCCCTTTAAGTCCCTCCCCTCCCCATACCCTGCCGTCTTCATGCTCCACTCCCAAAATCTCCAGGTATTTCCCAACCTGGATCTGGAAACCCTATTCTGTGGCCAAACCACTCAAGCAGCTGCTTGGAGTGGCACAGCAAGGAAGACGCTGGAGATGCAGGTGTTTGGCTGGCCCCCAGCCATCGATGGCAAGCGAAAGGGCTGGCATTCTCTCCCGGGCCTGCACTGCCACTGCCAGTTCCTAAACCAAGGCGGATTTGGGCCTTGAAAGAATAAACATACCATGCGGGGAGTGACAGATACATCAAACTGACCCTGCAATCTCTTTCTGTTTGCTGACTTAGCAGGTGATAACAAAAAGCCTCTTTCCAAACTCTGCTCTAATCACTACTGTCTCTGAAAATGCTCCCATTTCAGAGGCCGTTTAGTTTCCTATTTATTTCTTCTGCAGAAAACATTCATAAATAACCCAGTGGAGTGGGAATAGCTATATCCTTTTTTATGCATCAGAGACTCTCTCCAGTCGAGTAACAGGTAAAGTGACAGCCCAGACCATCCAAAGAGGCACACACACACACATAACATAAGGCTGAACATAATAGCTTTTATTCGCTTTGCTGTTTTACCAAACCCACATTGGAACAGAAATTCCCCTCTATGTTGCATGCCACTTTCACTCCCTTTGATTGTCAGATTTTATGGAAGCCTCCACACTGCATGCTGGTTTCACTTCCTTTGATCTCTCAGTTTTATGGTAGCCATCTGCATATATTTAAGGCTGTTTTATGGCCATCCAGGGATGACTCTGCAGTCAGGGCGTAGGCCCGGGATATTTGAATGTGGTTTTGAGCTGCATCTTTTTCCGTTCCAGTGTGGGTTTGGTAAAACAACAGAGTGAATGCTATATGCAGAATGGGCCTGTGAAACAGCTATTTGCTGTTGGGGAAAGATACCTGTACTGATGGCTACATGTAAATTTCCACAATGGACTCCATAGCATGAGAATCAGCCTGGAGAGACCTTGAATCTGCCACAGTCTCCCATCCTGGCCTATTTGTGCCTAGCTATATGATAGATGTGATGTGATCAGAGTCCCATGACACAACTCATAGTTACACCATCCATCAAGGGACTCACCTTGCAAATCACTCTGTGTCTCAGTGTGGCTCCAAGCACTGCAAGGGGGGAAGAGGGGCTCCTGCCTTCCCTCCTGTGCCATTTTCCCTACCAGAAACAGCCGTGGGGGGGGGACCTGTTTCCTCCTTTCTCAGGCTCTATATGTCATATGTCATATGTCTGTATGTCATGTGATTTTAGGATATGTGGATCCCGAGAGAGAGGTAAACAGGGCCCCCCCACAGCCATTTCCACTAGAGAAAACAGCATGGGAGAGAAGGCAGAAACTTCTCCTCCTCCCTTGCAGAGCTTGGAGCCACACTGAGTGACAGCGAAGTCTGTAAAGTGAGTCCCCTGATGGTACATGTAACTGAGAGTTGGGTCATGGGACCCCTGACCTGTCTTGTGTCTCATGTGTTGCATAGCTAGATCCTCAAAGGTTGCTGAGATGATAATCGGGGGGGGGGGGGGGGGAACATATCTGGTGTCTTGAGCCCCTTGGGAGACGTACAAGACACAAAGTAGGGAAGCACAAAGTTGGTTCTGTGGTATGGCTGCCAGCCTCCAGGGATGGCTGAAGATCTCCCACTATTACACCTGATCTCCAGGTGACAGAGAGCAGTTCACCTGGAGAAAACAGTTGCTTGGGAAGGAGCACTCCATGGCATGATACTCCCTTTAAGTCCCTCCCCTCCCCATACCCTGCCGTCTTCATGCTCCACTCCCAAAATCTCCAGGTATTTCCCAACCTGGATCTGGAAACCCTATTCTGTGGCCAAACCACTCAAGCAGCTGCTTGGAGTGGCACAGCAAGGAAGACGCTGGAGATGCAGGTGTTTGGCTGGCCCCCAGCCATCGATGGCAAGCGAAAGGGCTGGCATTCTCTCCCGGGCCTGCACTGCCACTGCCAGTTCCTAAACCAAGGCGGATTTGGGCCTTGAAAGAATAAACATACCATGCGGGGAGTGACAGATACATCAAACTGACCCTGCAATCTCTTTCTGTTTGCTGACTTAGCAGGTGATAACAAAAAGCCTCTTTCCAAACTCTGCTCTAATCACTACTGTCTCTGAAAATGCTCCCATTTCAGAGGCCGTTTAGTTTCCTATTTATTTCTTCTGCAGAAAACATTCATAAATAACCCAGTGGAGTGGGAATAGCTATATCCTTTTTTATGCATCAGAGACTCTCTCCAGTCGAGTAACAGGTAAAGTGACAGCCCAGACCATCCAAAGAGGCACACACACACACATAACATAAGGCTGAACGCAATAGCTTTTTAGCTCAGCAGGATGCTCTAGGCTGACTGAATATGTAACAAGTTCCCGACAGGGCAAAACCTGAACAAGTGGTGTGCTTGACTGGCTACCAAATAGCCACATGAATCCACCAATTTGGAGGCAGCTATGCAAGTCAGAATGTTACTGACATACATTTCTCATTAAGGCGAGACTACAGAAACAGCAGTGAGAGTGATGCTGTGGTGGGGAATAAAGCTTCATAAATAGCTCTTTGGTCTGGGGTCCCCAATCTTGTTATGCAGCAAGGCGCTTTTGGAACATGAGTACAGGGAATGAGCACTACTAGAAAATGGCAGCCATGGGGGCTGTGGCTAGTCACAAAACACCGAGACGTTGCAGTGTGTTGGAATATGCAAGGTCCAGGGCTATTTTGGGGCAGGAACGCACAGGAACGGAGTTCCGGCTGGCTCCCAAGTTGGCCACGCCCAGCAGGAACTCATTAGCATAATAGGCTACACCCAACAACAGAAACTCATTAGAATTGACTACATTAGGGGTGTGTGGCCTAACATGCAAAAAGCCCTGGGTTTTGACAACAAACAAGGTAAAGAGAATAAGAAGCAAAAGGTGGGTGTGGCTGGATGACCACACTTCTGGTAACATGGGGAGTTGGACAGACTTCTCTTTCTCTCTCCTCTTTCTTACAAAGTTTGTTCCCTTCTTAATAAACCTACTTCATTATTTAAACAGCTTGTGCTCTGCTTTACTGCATATCTACACTCTGCCAACACAATGGAGGCAGCTGTTTCTGAATGAGTTGCTCACTGCAGGCACAGAGGTGATGCCTGTTGGGGTCTTCTGAAGCACCGACTTCTCCAAGGAGGTAGAGGAAAGCTGGGACTGGCTCTTTGTTTTGGGGAAGAGATGCATGGGAGAAGAAACAAGTGGGTACCAGGAAACCCATCTGCCAGCACCATGTTGGAGCCCACTGTCTTATATTGTACAGAGTTTGTCCTAATGTCTAGTGTTATCAAAGATCGTATAAGATAAGATGCCCACCTCTCATACTTATCAAATCAAATAAATAACTACTAATCATGACCTTGAAGTCAACATTCCTTTGTAAACTGATGCTATACCTCGACATTTCTCTGCTGGATTAGGAGATGAGGGATTTCCGAAGAAGCCATCCTTGCATTTGCACTCCCCCATCACACGGTTGCAAATCCCAGAAGCATTTGGATCAATGTTGCTGCACTGGCACCGCTGGCAGGGTCGTCGTGGACCATTCTCACCCAAGGGATCTCCAAAATAGCCATCAGCACAAAACTCACAACGAGAGCCTACGAAAGAATGATGGACAAATGGATGAAGCTGTGAACCAGCAACACGTACACCTTTCTTACACGTCCCTTGCAAAGCTACAGTTCTATTGGTGTTTGCAAGGCATGGAAACCCCACAGACTCTGTTCTTAGTACTAACCCACCATTCTGTGGGGGGGGGGGAAGGGAAATGTCCTTTCAAAGAAATCTGAATCTGAGCATTACCACTGGCTCCTGGAGGGCAGTTATCACAAACCACCTCCCGTGTCTCCGGCAACACTGAACAGCCATGGCCACTCGGGCACGGGCACGGCTGGCAACTCTGCGGGTTCCGTGGCGGACTGTAAAAGCCAGCTGGGCAGGCAGCACTAATGTGCTCCCTGTTTTCATCGCCTGAATAGCATTCTCCTGAGCAAAGTCAAAAAGAGAGAAGAAACAAACAAACAAAAAAGAATAGCAGTTGAGATTAGCATTTGACACCACAAGGTTTAGAGCAATTCCAAAGCCTTTTAGTGCTGCTTTAAAAACAAACAAAAAGCTTCTTTCCCTCATTTGTGTAAAGAAGGGATGTGAAAATATGAAGGCAAGATTGTGTGGTGGTATAATAGATACACATATACGTTAATTTTAATAAACTCTCCTGATTTCTCAAAACTATGCTTCAAAATGTTTTTGAGGGTTGACTCAGAATTTTCTGAATAAGTGGAATGAACATAATTAATTTGCAAACTTCTGTTTATCATCGCTAGTTATGAGTTTCCTGGTTTTCTGGGTCCACTGGGCATGCACGTATCAGATGTTAGGCAGGCTGTCCAGTTTCTTAGATTCAAATACCCCAGGAAGAACCTACCACCACCTAGAAACTGTAATAGGTTGCTCAAGGCTAGACAGTAATTCTCCTCTTGAAGGTAGTCTGCTGGTGTGTATGAGATAGGGAAAAGGATCTCACCACCCACTTTCCTTCGTTAACTTGGTAGGGTATCCAACTCTGGCTTATTTCAAGGAGGTCTTTCAGAATCAGAGATTTTCTCTAGGCCTAGTTCTTTTTTAAAAAGTGGGGTGCTCATTCAAACATCCCACCAAAGGTGGATCTGGTAAACAAACCATTTCCCTGTGTGTGCAAGCTCTGCCCAATCCAAAGAGGGGTGAAAGCTTAGTGTCATCTTCAGAAAGGTGTCACTTCGCTCCAGCGCTTCCCCCCTTCTAGCCCTTTATATATGATTTTTAAAAAAACATTTGAGGTGTGGATCAGCTGCTGGAGGAGATGGGGACTGGTGGGCTGCAGAGAAGATTCTCGTCCAGTTGGCACTTCTGTGCTGACCTCATGAGCTGGAAGTGGGGGGCGTGGAGGCAGTGCCAGCAGTGAGAGGCAGGGGGATGGGAGCATGTCAACACCCTCCCTACACACTTTAATCCCACTCACTGCTATTTCCACAGTGGGGCTGGCTTTTCTCGCCCCCAGGTGCAGCCCAGGATGCTTATGTGGCTTTACTCATCACAGTATAATGGAGTAGTTTGTGATTCAGCTGAAATCCCACACAAA